GCCTGGGGGTGCTGCCTCTTGGGGTGCTGAGCCTGGGGGTGCTGAGCCTGGGGGTGCTGAGCCTGGGGGTGCTGCGTCTGGAGCTGTTGAGCCTGGAGGTGTGGAGCCTGCGGCCACTGGACCTCCCCTTGTTGCGTCTGGCGGTACTGGGCCTGGAGGTTCTCCGGGTGTTTCGTCTCGGCGGGAGCCACTCTCTCCACAGGAGCTGCGTGAGTGGTTTGCTCGCCGCTGGAGGCGTACTGCTGGAGCTGGCGCTTCTTCGGCCACTAAGGGTGCTGGTGCCGCCGGTCGCGGAGCTGCTGGGCCTGCGGGTCTGCCTGGAGCTGGAGCTGCTGCGGGTGTTGGTTCTGAGACTACTCCTGTCTGTCCTGGTGGTGGTCGTGCTGCGGGTGCTGCTGGTGCTGCTGGAGGTCCTGCCGCTGGAGGTGCTGTTGGCGCTGGTGCTGCCGGAGGTGCTGAGGGTGCTGGTGCTGTCCCTGCTGTGTCTGGTGCCGCTGCGCGGCCTCGGCCGTACTTCGTTCCGCTTCTGCAGCAGGTTCTTGGTCTTCCTCCTCTCTTAGAGGGTCCACCGCCTGTCAAGTCGCAGTCACAGTTACCGCCGGCCTCCCCACTGCCTTCTCCCTCTCCCTACACTGGTCCTACTGGAGGTCTTGCTGAGCGTCGTGAGCCTGCGTCTCGTCCTGTGTCGCCTGTTCGTGCTGCTCGCACTAGTGGTCGCAGTTCGCGTCAGCGTCCTCGTCCTGTCCCTGGCACGCACCGGATGTCTCTGCGTCCGTCCACTGCTCCTCTGCGTGCCCCTTTGCCCTCTCCCCTTGAGTCCTCTCTTCCTGCGCTTGCCGACCCTGAGTCGGACTCTCTTCGTGCTGCCAGTCCTACTGTCACGCGTCTCCTTACTACTGTCGTCACTGACCCCTCCATTGAGTCCACTACTGTGTCTGCTCTTGTTGCCGAGCTCGTCGACTTTGCTGCTCGCTGTCGTCTAGACTACGCTGCTAGTCTTGTTGCTGAGTCTGCGTCTGTCTGTCCTCCGTCCGTCGGGGGTGAGTGTGCTCTTGGCACGGACGTCCTTGAGGACAGGCAGGAGGAGTTTCAGTGTCTGGCTGCTGCTTCACCTCATCTCGCGTCTGTACTGCTTGCCCCTGAGGGAGACCCGGATGCACTAGACATCCCGACTCCGCGCTCTTACGCGGAGGCCGTAGAGGGTCCCTACTCCTCTCAGTGGCAGGCAGCTATGGATGCAGAGATGGCTTCCTGGAAGTCCACAGGCACCTACGTTGACGCTGTCCCCCCTCCTGGGGCGAAAATTGTCAGTGGGATGTGGATCTTCAGAATGAAGCGGCCGCCGGGCTCTCCACCTGTCTTCAAGGCGCGGTACGTGGCTCGTGGCTTCAGTCAGCGGCAGGGAGTTGACTACTTTCAGACCTTCTCTCCCACCCCGAAGATGACCACTCTTTGGGTGCTGCTGCACATAGCCGCTCAGCGCGACTACGAGCTCCACTCTCTTGACTTCAGCACTGCTTTCTTGCAGGGTAGCCTGCACGAGGAGATCTGGCTGCGCCGTCCACCTGGCTTCACTGGGACTTTCCCTCCTGGCGCCCAATGGAGCCTCCGACGGCCAGTCTACGGTCTCCGCCAGGCACCGCGTGAGTGGCACGACACACTGAGGACTACGCTTGCGGCTCTTGGGTTTGCTCCCTCTACTGCTGACCCGTCGTTGTTTCTGCGCACCGACACTTCTCTGCCGCCGTTCTACATCCTCGTGTACGTCGACGACTTGGTCTTTGCCACAGCGGACACTGCTGGACTCGCCTACGTGAAGTCCGAGCTGCAGAAGAGACACATGTGCACAGACTTGGGTGAACTGCGCAGCTACCTTGGCTTGCAGATCACTCGGGACAGAGCACGCCGCACCATTACCTTGACTCAGTCACACATGGTGCAGCAGGTCCTTCAGCGCTTCGGCTTCACGTACTCCTCGCCTCAGGCCACTCCTCTGTCTACTCGCCACTCGCTCTCAGCTCTGCCTTCGGATGAGTCCGTAGAGTCGAGTGGCCCGTACCCAGAGCTTGTTGGCTGCCTCATGTACCTGATGACCTGCACACGACCTGACCTTGCATACCCTCTTAGCATCTTGGCACGCTATGTTGCTCCTGGGAGACACCGACCAGAGCACATGGCTGCAGCGAAGAGGGTGTTGCGCTACTTGTGCAGTACGTCGGGCATGGGGCTAGTGCTTGGAGGGCGGAGTCCAGTGGTGCTCACTGGGCACGCGGACGCTTCTTGGGCTGACGACCAGGCTACGCAGCGGTCGTCGCAGGGTTACACCTTCAGTCTTGGTTCCGGCTCTGTTTCGTGGCGAGCTACTCGCTCATCTTCGGTTCTCCGCTCCAGTTGTGAGGCTGAGATCTACGCCGGGGCCATGGCTGCTCAGGAGCTTCGCTGGCTCACCTACCTGCTGACTGACCTTGGAGAGCTGCCTCGTTCTCCTCCAGTGCTGTACGTAGACAACAAGGCCATGCTGGCCTTGTGTCGAGAGCAGCGCCTGGAGCACAGAACGAAGCACATTGCTCTCCGCTACTTTCTTGCTCGTGAGCTGCAGCAGCGTGGTCAGTTGCGACTTGCGTACGTGGCCTCTAAGGCCAACACTGCTGATGTTTTCACCAAGGCACTTCCGCCTTGTGATCATCAGCGTTTCTGCACTCAGCTGGGACTTGTCCCAGTCTTGCCTCACTTGCTCACCTCTTGACCTTGCTTGTACTCTTGCATATATATATACCTGCTCTTGCTTGTTTAGACTTATATATATATATGTGTCTCCTCCTGCTTGTGAACTGGCCTTGTGGCCTTGACCTTGTGCTCAGACTGTGTGGTGACGTTGTGATCCACCCTGAGCTTGCTTTGCTTTGCTTTGCTTGACTGGTCTTGTGACCCCTTGTTCTCCCCCACTTTGCCTATGGGGGTGTGTCAGATCATTATAGCTTATGCTTTTGTGTAGGCTATAGTGGGGTATCCCATAGGGGGTACAACCCAATTAGGGTTAGTACTTGTACCCACTTCATTCATAGTCCATTCATTCTCGTTCTCATTCTCACATCTCTCTCTCTCTCTCTCTCTCTCTCTCTCTCTCTCTCTCTCTCTCTCTCTCTCTCTCTCTCTCGTTCTCTCGTTCTCTCTCTCTCTCTCTCTCTCTCTCTCTCTCTCTCTCTCTCTCTCTCTCTCTCTCTCTCTCGTTCTCTCTCTCGTTTTCTCTCTCTCGTTCTCTCTTTCTCTCTCGTTCTCTCTCTCGTTCTCTATCTCGTTCTATCTCTCTCGTTCTCTCTTTCTCTCTCTCGTTCGTTCTCTCTCTCGTTCTATCTCTCTCGTTCTCTCTTTCTCTCTCTTGTTCGTTCTCTCTCTCTCTCTCTCTCTCTCTCTCTCTCTCTCTCTCTCTCTCTCTCTCTCTCTCGTTCTCTCTCTCCCGTTTCCTCTCTCTCTCTCTCTCTCGTTCTCTCTCTCGTTCTCTCTCTTGTTCTCTCTCTCTCGTAATTTCATTATGCCTTGTTATTTCCCATTTGCCTTCCCTTCCTCAACCCAGCTTTGTCTTACTTTCCAGGCAGTCGAGCTCAATATGAGAAGTAGACTGATATTGCTTATGACTTCCAGTATATGATACATAATGTCTTGGTGATTTGGGTTTCTATTTCATCTGCGGTTAATATCCTTTGTCAGTTGGCTTCGTGCGTGCGTGTATGTGTGAATGTGTATGATCATGTGTATGTGTTGTGTTGTGTGTGTATGCGTTTTCATTCATGTTTCCACTGCATTAACAACACATGTCTGTGGGTTTTAAAAATTGGGATCAAACTATCATTTCCGAGAAGGTTCTTTGCGCACTCAGTGAGTGTGTCCATTCGAGCTGGATTTTATAGAATTGACCCGTTTTTTATATCACACAGATTGTGTTGTTTCATGTAACAGTTGGATCATTCAGAAATTATGCTATTGAGCTCCCCCCCATGCTAGCATAGGGTCTGCGTCAATTAACTGTTACGCATTTCCATCATGCTATGCATTTATTTCATTACCGGTAGTATATGCATTATACTTATGCATTTGCGTTTACTTCATCTACGCATAACATCATCAGACATATGCATCACAGAATAAACAGTTACGCGTTCACAGTACATCATTTTGGCAACTCATGAAATATAGGTTCAGTCAAAGTAAATTAGGAAATGAGAAGGAACCGTATTCTCCCGGACATAACACCCGGGGGTATTATGATAACCACAGGGAAAAAAGAGGGGGGTCCTCTCAACGGAAAATCCTATATAATACCCGGGTGGTTATATATGGTATATTTTAATGCAACAGTTTGGGTGTTTCAATGGTCGTTTCAATATCACAGCTTGAGGCGAGAATGTGAGTTTTGGCGAGAATGTGAGTTTCACCTTTCAGGCCAATTGCAGCGGAAGATTCGCCAGCGTGGCGACTTCCTAGAATGTGGGATGGGGGAAATCTCCACTTGCAGCGAAAGATTTGCTAGGGTGGCGACAGCGAGATTGTGGGAGGGGGAAATGTCGGCGGATTCTAAGTGCAAGTACACGCGAAATTTCATCTAGGAAGCGATTCTCGCAATATTCTCCTGTAAGGAATCAGACTCGATAACAGCTATAATAGGAATCCGTAAGAAAAGGGGGGTGTTATAGAAAATCATCCAAAAAGGGGGGTATAGTAGAAACGAGGTCGCCCATAGCACCCACCCCGCACAAGCTACTCGGGGGTGTACTATCATGGGGGGGTGTTTTGTGGTTCAGCACGTGGTAAATTGACGCGGCAAATACATAGCAGTCAGTCACTTAGCTAGTACCGTTCACTATATTTTTTCCATCCTCTATTTTTTTAAGTATAGAGGATTGAAAAAAAAATGTACATAACGATTGTAATAGGTTGCTTCGCAACCCAAAAAAAAACTTCTTTTGTAACAGCCATATTATATTCAAGCGCCTTCAATTTACTTAACATACAGTAGTTAACCATAGGTCCAGCATAGCAAGTGTAACAACCCAGGAGTAGTGTGTGCTGTCTATGGTCAAATCCGGGCGAGGAAGAGTGAGCATTGTCAACGGGATGAAGTTACCAAACCCTTCCCTTGGCAGCACCCTGCACAGGTTAAAAGTAAGTGGTGGTGAGAACAATTCTACAAACGTGGTACCACACACAACACACCATCAAGTGATTCTTCAAACTCTCCAAATCACTACCAACACCAACACTCCCCATCAGCCCACTTCCTACCCTCAACCTTGCTTACTCCCTTCTCAAATTCCAACCCAGAACCCAGCAGAGCAGCCAGGGTTTCCTCAGCCCAACGCCAGCTCCACCAGCATCACGAGAACCACGAGCACCACATTACCAGCCCATCCCCTGCAGGCGACACTGCACAGAGGCAGACAGCAATGACCCATCCACTACAGCCCTCCATCCCAACCACCCGGAAGCCTCCTCCTCCAGCACCACTCACTTGAAGGCCTTTCTCCGCTCACGCCACCCACCTGGCAGCTTCCTGCTCGAAGGCCAGGCCGCGCACGTTGTCGCTCTTGAAGAGCATCCAGCGCGGCTTGCTGTCCTCCCGGGCCGCCCACGGCCCAAACGCGGTCACCCGCCGCGGGTCCTGCAAGAGCCGTCGCAGGCTGGGCAGTAGATGCGAGCCTGCGAGGGCCACGGGAAGCACGGAGGCATGGGGAGCACGGAGGCATCGTGATGATGAGGCGTATGAGAGAAACGTGCAACACTTGCATGCGCACAAGAGACAGAAGCAGGTGCGGCAAAGGAGGTTCAAGCATAGCGAAAAAAACCAACCGAACACAGCCACCCCACACAGACAAGCTAGCCAGCCAGCACAATACTCATGAGCAAAATGAACACTTCAAACAAACCCAAATGATTCCACTCACGAGCGACGCGTGCATAGTCCTGCGCAGTATCCAATGTGATGAGGTCATGCAGCGAAGAGCCGTAGGCGGCGAGGCGGAAGGGTGTGTCTGGGCGGCTCACCACCTCGCCCCCCGTGAGGCTCGTGTTGTACATCCACCCCGGCAGCACCTCGTGCTTCGCCCCCATGTGAGACGCGTACGTCAGATTAAAGAGGTAAGTACGCCCACGCATGCTCACATTGAACCTGCGACAAAAGATTCACACGAGCAGGCTGAGAAGAAACTTCAGGAGTTACAGCAGCGGCTTCTGGTCCGTTACTGGCAGTGCAGAGACCAGAGCAGCAAAGTCCCTCACACGCCACTCCTCTTCCCAACATTACTGTTGGTTTCGCCCACCATACGATTGACCTGCTTCACTCAAACACACCAGCACACCACGACTGGATTCACATTCTCAGGCCATGGAGTCAGTGGAGTGAGTAGTGGAGCGGTGTGACTCACTGTTGGCGCGTGAAGCCATTGTGGAGCCCTCCGTAGAAGGTGAAGCGGGGTGGGGGGAAGGGCACTGGCGTGCGCAGGAGCTCCCCGCTGCCGTCCGTGTAATTGGTGGTCTTGGGGAGGCTTTGCAACCCGTGAAAGGCCTGCCGGGGTGATGGGCGTACATGGGTGTGGTGTGGTGCAGTGCCAAGGGATGGAGCGTGGTGAAGGGTGGAAGGATGCAGGATGTAGCGTAGCGTAGGCGCGATCACTGGGCAGAGACAAGAATGAGGCAACACCGTACTCACGCCGTGCAATGCAACGCAACGCAACACAAAGCGTGCAGGGCAACACACGCAGGGAGCAGTGCAAGAGCGAGGGGCAGGAATCCATGCAGTGACGTGCCTGCAGGTCGCCCCCCATGGAGCGCAGATACGTCCCGCGCGTGCGGTTGACCAGGAAGTGGGTGAGAAAGCCAAAGAAGAAGCGCATCTCGGAGTCGCCTGCACGCACCACCAGGGAGGGAGGGCAACCCAGAAGAGGGCTACATGCACTGACGCACGTGGGACCAGCCACCCGACGCCCAAACCCAAGCATGCCTGGAAACACAAAATCTAGTCAGTAAGGAACCTGTTACTCGTTCTTGGGCCATCATTTTTTCGACACTTATCCCTATAGCATGGACGAGCAAGTACCCATGATGAGGACGTTTTTATGGCGGTGGAAGCAGGAGAGGGCATCGACGGGGGTGACAGTGCGCAGGCGGCAGGCATGGGGCATCCACTTGTGCTGCAGCCAGTACCCCTGGTTGCCGTGCGTGCGCAGCATGTCCGCCGTGCACCATGGCAGCAGGGCGCTGGTGGGTGCATGCGTGCGTGGGGATTGGAGGGCATGGATGGAGCACAGAGTAGAGCAGAACAGAGCAGATGGGAGTGGAGAAGAGCAGAGTAGCAGAGCCAAGCGAAGTAGACGCGACAGCAAAGCAGGCAGCGCGGAATAGAACAGACCATTTCCAGACCCGAAACTGATTGGCATGGCACGTGTGGTAGGGAAAGTGACGGTACTCACCGGAGTGCTAGGGGGAAGTACGTTGGAGGGGCCACCACCCGGATCACTCGAGCAAACACCAGCTCGTACCTGGGCAAGGGGCAAGAAAAGGCAAGGGGCGAGGCATGTCATGCAACAGGCACGCACAGGTGGTGAAGCATGTTTCAATGCACACCACACAGCATCACAACCATGCTCTCATGCTCCCATCCCACCAGGTTCACCCGGCGTACCCGGCATAGCCGTGGTTGAAGGCGGGGGAGCGGTTGGTGCGCAGCTGGAAGGCATTGATGAAGAGCAGATGCAGCGAGAGCAGGTAGGGGCCAGGCACCGGTGCTGTAAAACACACCTGGGGGGGACGCACGCAGCAAGCAACAGAAAAAGCTGCATCGGGCATAAGAACAACACAGGGAACAACCTGTGCTTCCGTGAGAGCATACCCAGCAGGGGCAGAAGGTGAGCGGAAAGATGAGGAGCAAGCAGAGTGATGTGGATGTGTGGAATGGAACAGTAGGCGAGCGGGGGAAGGGGGGGGAGGGGGTTTAGCAGCAGAGGAGAGTGACGGTGAGACAAGCACCTGGTGGGAGGAGGAGGCATGGCGGTAGTTGACTTGAGCGGCCAGTCGCAGGTCTGTCCACCCCTTGAGAGAATCAGCCCTTGCAGGAACCTCTGTCAATCTAGCAGATCTCATTGTCATATCCTGCTGCTCCCCCCCCTCGCCTTGCCTCCTGCTGCTGCTGCTGCTGCTGCTGCTGCTGCTGCTGCTGCTGCTGCTGCTGCTGCTGCTGCTGCTGCTGCTGCTGCTGTTGCTGCTGCTGGCATTGCTGCTGGCATTGCTGCTGCTGTTAGATTCCAGCCTCAGAAGAGCCACGAAGAAAGCACGCTGCCTGCAAAATCGGTCACCGTGAATGGCGAGGAAGAAGAGACCTTGCAATCATTACCTCCGTGAACGATGCTCTTGTATTAGTCACCATGTCTTGCAATTACACATGGGTGATGCGGTGGAGAGCAACATGAGTGGGTGCTGTGAGGAGGGCAACATGGTTGGAGCTCACATGCAGCCTGAGTCAAACGGATGTCCAGACTTGTCATAGGCTGCACCGAAACACACACGCACACAAATACGAACGAATACGCGCACATTCAATTATTACTAAACTCTGTAAACCATATTGTAATAAGGTAGAGAGCGAGCTGGACAGAATTCTTTGCGTCTATGCTGAACAGTCCCTTCCTGCCTTTTGAAGAAAGAAAGAATCACCTGCCTTCCATAGCACCTGTCTCACGTGTCAAAACAAAGCTATGCATTCGCATGCCGACCTCCTCTCCCCAGTCGTCCAGTCCCACCTGTCACGGAGAAGCACGTGCGGTGGTTGGCTACAGCCCACTCCGCCCCCGCCCCTTTCACCTCCACTCGCCCGAACCTCGCTGCCTTCGTAACGTCCCACCCCTCCCCCGCCCGCCGCTCCTCCTCCAAGCCGCACTCCTCTTCCGCCCCCTCCTCTTCGTCCTTCACTTTCTCCCTCCCTTCCCCCTTCTCCCTCGCATCCCCGTGTTTCGGCCATGCTGTTTCTGCAGTTACTGGAATGGAACGAGCGCAGAAACACGCGGGGAAAACATGGGCATTCGTGAATTGCGAACGTGGAAGACGAGACTCGTGAAACTCGACAATAGTTTACAAGTCCACTGCAGCGTTCTCAAATGGCGGAGTCTGCCTGAAATCAAGAAGCGTACACGTGAAGATGCCGCTTTTAAAGGTCGGCGAGTGCAGCAACGAGTTAATGGCGCTGAAGGTGAGTAGCGACAGGAGCAAAAAGCCGGCTATACCGCGTCTCTTCCTCCCACAAACCAATACCACCTCGTCCCAAGCGCTTCTTTTGATCACCATCTCGTTTCCCTGCGACCTCGAGTCTCCTTGCGCGCGGGACTGTGGTACGCGCAGACGGCCCCACGAACGACTGGTGCCTCCCAGTCGCATCATTGCTTTCAGAATACACACGGGGTTACTACTCCAGGCAATCCACGCACCAAGTCACGTTACTGAACACGCAGCAAACAGCCAAGACGTGGTCTAGGCAGAAGATTCTAGGTCGTCGTGGCAACTGAACGACCAACAAGCCTAAACGGAGTGAGGACTACTAGTATGGCGGCTACAACGGCGACAACTAGTATGGCTGCGACGAACTGCGAGGGGAAGCCACAATTAACAAACAGTTGGAGATTGCGAGCCGCCAAGCCATAAAAGGCTTCCCAGCTATTGCATGTTGCGTGTGACGCGCGGTGAGAACACGCAAGCCAACGTGGAAACGTCTTGAATAGATAAACGAACCATTTCTCAATCCGGAGTTAATTACAGTGACGAGTTTGTAACCAACACTACCACCGAATGTTGAACTCAGTAAAGCACGCCCTTGTTGCTGCCGACTCAATTCACGAGCGAGAAGAGTCGACGAGAGGACATTGTGACTCTGGGCGACGCAGCGTCGCTAGAAGGCTGATCTGAATATGCACGAGCGGCGATCACTAATACGCCAGTGGTGTTAATAGACATATTCGCGGGGCGATATTACTTTTCGCGGCCTTCATATTTTGCTGAGCTGGGATGACTGACGAGTTTTCACCAGGTAGTACTAGGCCTGAATTGAACATCTAGAAAAAGAAACCTAAACATACCGTACCATTTATTCAGTGCTACAAATATTTGGACTAACATAAGCAGTTACTTTGAGTGTGTAAGCAATTCGCCTTCTGCGAATTTAATGTGAAGCCTTGCCTCCTCAATGGGCGTTGAAGGTCTTGGGTGTTGAACATGTAGTGTTGAGGCCTTAGATGTTGAGGTCTTGAGAATTGAAGGACTTGGATGTTGAACATGTTGAGCGCTGAAGGCCTTGGTTGTTGAACTTCTTGAGAGGAGACGCCAGAGGGTGTTGGTTGTGGAGCCTCGAGAAGATCATCTGCCAGTCAAGGAGGAAAAGGATAGGGGAGAGTGAATCCAAGGGAACAAAACATACATGTGCATGATGGCTGGTATGAGCATGAAGTAGCATGCATGCATGATAGCTTACCACAGCTAACACAAGAGCCATGTACCATACCTGAACACCTGAGGGGACCTGACCTCCTAACCTTAACCTTAACCAGGGAAACGGCTCATGTGAAGCGTGGTTCGCTGGCAGCGAGCTTGAGATGCATGAGGGAGCGGTAATGAAAGGCGCGAAACATCATGGGAGTGAAGCGCGGGAACTGGTCAGGAACTTATCTGGCCACGAAGTCTCGTTTGTTGCGCCTTGGTATGCGTCGGTGTTGAGCATCTTGAGCGCTGAAGGCCTTGGTTGTTGAACCTCTTGCTTGGAGACGCCAGAGAGCGTTGGTCGACGAGGTTGCAGCGAGTTGAGCTTTGTCAGACATCAGTGTATCCTGAAATTGGAACACGGCACACCTTTAGTCAAATCTGAATGACCGCTGAATGTAACGACATGAGAGCGGAGTTTCGAAACTTACGTTGGGAACGGAAGCAGGAGTAGAACAGTGACGATAAGCTGAACTGCGATCAGTCCGCCTTGCCCCAAAAAACTTGTAGGAGAAATCGGCGATTCGTAGTCTCGGCTTGCATATCGGTCATCGGAACTCGGAAGATGGAATTATCATCCACATGCGGATGCGTTTACATAATAATAGGCGAACAAAACGGGAGGTATGCGTGGCTCTAGCAACATAGGTGCCAGGCATTATGCCGGGGCGAGGCGATGCTGGTGGTGGTGAGGGGCAAGGCCCAAGGTGGGGCCCCGTGGTTGGGAGGGGAGGCAGCAAGGTTGCTGGTGGGACGATGGGATGTCTAGGGAATGGATTGGCGGCGGAAATGTGTGTCGGTTGGGGGGGTGACAGAACAACGCTGCGCGCTGCGTGCGCCTGGGGCTGGCAGAATTTGCCTCAAACGGGAAGCGGAGTGGCTGGTTGGATTGGGTGGGGGAGACTTGTGTAGGCGATGTCCGGGCAATGTCCCCGTCAGCGCGCGCTGCGGAACAGGTCCTCCACAGGGATTGGTTCTTGTTGTGGCGAGCGGCGGAACAAAGACAGCGGGAATTACGAATTTCCGCCCCCTTGTCAGCACAATGCATGCTCCACACAGAATGTCTAGCGCGAATTCTGTAAGGGGCCAATGTATACATGGTAGTACCGTATTGTACATGTACAGTGTGTTGTACTTAGCATAAATCCATTTTGCAGGAAATGATAGGTGTGGCAAAGGCTCATACAGTCGCCTCACCAGTACGGTGTGAGCTCGCCAGGCGACAGAATGGGTCAGGTGAAGGAACGGGTCCTTTCTTGCTTTGGAGAGGGATGTGAGGTGACGTGACGTGAGGTTAGTAGCGATAGGCGGGTCTGCTCTGCATTGTGTGGGGAGGCAATGTGAGGGGGAGGCGATATGAGGGAAGATCCCAGCATGATGAAGGGCGCAGCAAAAGGACCCGACGTGAAGGGGTCCGATCTGGGGGAGCCGAAGTAAAGGGAGGTGAGACAAGGGACGACACGAGCAGGGAGATCAACAATCCAAGACCGACAGTCCAAGACTCACAGTCCCCTCCACGTTTTTCTCATCCGAGTAGAAACAGGGATTTTGATTATGTAAGGGTGAGTGTGGCTTGGTAGGGCGCTGTTGTGTTACCAGCTGTTGCTGTTAGAATGTACATTCCTGTATAGTAATCAGCATTCTGCGTTCGTGGTCATGGACCAACACTAAACTGGTTGCGTTTCTGTTGTTTCTAAGTAATATGTGGGGGTAATGGAAGGCAGTGGAAGTAGCATCAAACAGTTCTCTAGTAATCATACCTAATAAATAACCAGTGGTCCTTATAGATAGAGCACCTATGTCAGAGATTTCACCTAGAACTTTCTGCGTGCTACAGGGTGGTGTAGCATTGAGGCAGTGACACCGAGGGCTCGCCAGTGCCGCAGCTACAAGCACAGCCTTCTCCGCGAGCCTCTCCTACTTTTGAGCTTCTCTTGAGGCCTCCAGCAGTCCCGCCTCCTCGTCCGTTTGTTGCGCCTGCTTCTTGGCTGCTTCCTTGGCGTTCATCTCCTGTAAGAATGAGAGCAACGGGGGAAACACGGAGGATGGAGGAACAAGGAAGGATGAGGGACAAGTGGGCAGCAAGCACGAAAACCATGTTCTAGGTACATGTATACAGAAAAGGGAGAGAGACAGAAAGACATGAATATGGCAAAGGTGTTGTCCTGATTTCTTCCAGCGACATACCTGCATCTTGACGTGGTTGTACCAGCACACGCCCGCGAACGCGAGCAGGTAGCCGAGCAGGTTGAAGGTGGTGATTTTATCGGCAATGACAGACCAGGAGAAGGCGATGAGCAGCCAGTCCTTGATGATCCCCGCCACGTTCATCGTCAGCGCCGACGTCTTGCCGATCAGCAGGAACACTGAGAGGTTCAGCGCGAACGCACACAAGCAGTTGACGCCGAACACGAGCACGCTCGGGTGCGCGCCGGCAGCCATGACCGGGACGAGCTTGGGAAATTCGACGAGGAACCAGGGCAAGGAGAGGAAGAGGAGGCAGACGGGCGAGATGTAGTAGAGGCTGGTGATGGGGTTGAGCGAGATGCCCTTGGACGTGAGCAGGATCTGGATGAGCACCAGGCGCGTCGCCTCGAACACCACGGCCGTCAGCTGCAGCA